TATTGTTACTGTTGTTGGGTTTTTTGGGGGGGTTTGTTTCTGTTTTTTGCTTTTTGTTTTATGTTTTTAACCTGATGTACACAATGCTTTTACCTTTACAAAATTTCCAAGCTTTTTCTTCTTTGTAATCTGTTATGAATTGTCTTCAAGAAATCTCCTTGTAGTGGGAGTTTAATCAACATCTTTGAAACTGCTATCAGTACTGTGTGATGAAAAAGGAATGATGACAATAGTTACCCCAAGACTCAATTTTTAGCATGAAACAATAATTTCTTCTGCCCAGATCTCAAGTACTTTTGAGAAATCAGGCCTGTATTATTATGGGCTCTTCCTAGGGTTTATTCAGGTCCAGTATATTCAATTATCATCTTTCTGTTGATGCTCTTTGGAACTTGCTTGGGGCTTTCATTACAAGCATTGCTGCATATGCTTTTTCTTTTTCAATAAAATGGCAACAGATGCAGATGGGTGGAATGTAATTCTCAGGTATTATTGTTTTCTTAAAAGTGCAGGAGCTTTCCTTTGATTTTTAGAAGTTGAAAAGTAATTGAAATTGAGCAATATTTTTCAGAACGTTCAGGATTTCTTCTGAAATTTATTTTATTTTGTTAAAAATTGAGTATATGCTTATAGAGAAGTGTTTGAAGAAAGGTGAAGCCTTGTGGTAAACTATTCACCTTTACACAGTTTGAAGTGAATTTTTGGATGAGATCAGATAAAACAAATGTTATTTTGGTTTAGATAAGTTTCGAAGTGTACTGTTAAAAAATTCATCAATCTATTGTCTTTGGAATTTCATCCAGGTTTTTATACCAGTGCCAATTAGAGGTGCTAACATCTGGATGAATACATTCATTTTTAAATATGTTTAAAGATATGCTGGCCAAGTCAAGAGATACTTTATAAACACACAATAAACAGTAAAATCACCAGCATTTTTAAAATTCCATTTAAAATGTTTTGACATACTATGCATTCAAGGGATTGATAGGTTTCTACACTGCTATTATCTGATAATATTTTGGGTTCCCCTTGGATTAAAGAGATAAAAGAGAAAAAAAAATTAAAAGAATTTGCAAGAATTAAAAGAAATTGCAAATGTTAATAGCCTCCAGAAAATGCATTGTGCTGATATAATGTGCTACTCTTCATGTTAACAGTAAGTACTTTAGTAATTAAATTCAAGCTTGGTGACAAGCATTTTGAGGAGATAACACAAGGGTAATGACTGTGTAGCCACACAAGTACTCTGCTTTTGAGATTTCTAGGATTGCACATCGCATTGTGGTGCTGGTGTGAAGGGCAGTGTCCTTTAGTTCATCTTGCCAGAGGCGAATTTATTATACTCTGATTAATCTAACATAGAAAAGCCAATTTTAAGATACTTAATTATAGTTGGACTTTTCAACACTGTTAACTATTTCAAGGCAAACCAGGTGATTCACTGATAATAATTTTGGTTCTAGTTATTCTGAAGGTAATATAAAACATTCAGAAAGGCATTGTGCTGCCTGTGAATTTAGTTTGATACCAACATGTATTTCTAAAGTAATGTTTTTATCTAAAGCTCAGCAGACTTCTCTTTGTTGTTTTTGTTTTCTGTTTTGGTTTTTGTTTCAATTACAGGCTATTAAAAGACCCTATGGAGTGAAAAGCTGAGTCCATGTGCAAAAATACAGAAAATATTTATTAAGCGGCTTTAAATTGGTGCATTTTTTCATAAAGCAGTTTGCATAATACTTGAAGCTGCAAAATATTTGAACTCAAAATTAGAGATTTTTTTTTTAAGATATGGCTTCGAGCTGGAATGATTTCACAATCAAATAAGGACCAGCACATCATAAACACGGAAAAAAGATATAAACAGAACTTATATTCTCACACCAACCAAACAGCAGAAAAAATACAAGTGCAATTACTGGCTGCTATGTGAACTGTTATCTACCAAATGGTTTTCTTACAGTACTGAGATTTTTGTCTCCATACTGCATGCTTTCAACAAACGTGTTTTGCATTTCACCCAAGAAACACAGGATCTCCTTTTTAGTATCTATATTAAAAAAGCTAAGTGTTTGACATTAAGTTGTCTATAGTAAATAGCGGACAGGAAGCAAACTGTTCAAAGTTGGAAACAAATAAAGATTTACAACCCTGCAGTGGTAAAATTCAGATTAAATTCCTAAGTTGGAAATCCACAGGTGCAGAAAGGAAGGGTTTTGGAGAAAGGCGAGATGGTAGATTGAAGTATGAAAACTTTAAAGTGGGTGAGAACTGTGTGGGAAATATGATTCTTTGAATGTTTCTTGAAAAGTAAGGTAATGTCTTGTAAAGACAGCTCTGGGAAAATTACAGATTGCATGGTGGCCTGAGAGGTCAAAGAGAATGCATGATGTGCTGTGCTCAGTTATCTCTTCGAGAGGAAGGAAGGACTTGGAGAAATGGGCATGTAGATAAATGTGATAAGCAGAGAAGTAGTTGAACATGCATATTTGGAAATCATGGCATCCTCTCAGGTGAGATAAAAAAACATCATCATTAGCTACCAGGAAGCAAAAATGGCACAACCTCAACCAGCAGAGGTAGACAAACAGTCATTGACCACATGAACTTCAAGAAAAAATTTGAGGTGAAGCACACGCTGAAAAAATGGAAGTTGCAAAGACCTTTTTAAGAGAATGGTTAGAAAATGAAAAAATACTACTCTTTCAATGAGGGAAAAGCAAATCAGTACTTCAGAACTGGAAAGGCAATATGAAGAAATAGCTAATTTTAATTATTTCTGAAATGTTGAGGCAAGATGAAAACATTAAGAGCACAAGACTAGAAGATAACTTTCTCCTCCCTCACATTTTCTTGAAAATCATATTTGTGTAGAAAGCCACAGAGAAACAAGTTTACTACCATGGACACACTGAACTCCAATATGAATTAGCTGACTACAGTAATACATGAAGTGGAAGTTATGATTGACAAAAATAACATAAGGCAATGAACACCTAAGGAAGGAAGGACAGAGAAGGCTGTTGAAGGCGAGGGAATCAGCCTCAAAAGCAGCCTCTTTTCTCAGATAATTATCAGGTTCTGAAGAGAAGTACTGTGTGCAAAGAATCACTGGACAAGAGCATTTACCTGCAGAAGGAGCTGAGACACTCCATGAGATTAATTCAGTCACATGCAGCAAACTGTGCCTGATGTCAGGGTTGGAATAACCCTGGTAGAAAGCACAATTCACCTTGGAAACAAGGATCATGCAAAAGTCTGGAATCTTGATCCCCAGAAGAATGTGTTGCTTACAATATATTGTTCAAAAGGAACAAGCATTTAGATAATCATATTTTCAAATAGAAATTTTTCATATTTTAGTTAAGTCTTTTAGCAGTGTGATGACAGAATGTGGAAAAATAAGGCCTTCACTGCAAGAGAGAGTTCTAGCATCACTCAAAAGCAATGGACCACAACAGGAGGTAAACAGAGCTTGAGATAATCAAACCTCGTGCCAATGAGGGAACAAGGATTCACTTGGCAAAGAAACACTTTTCATAGACACAGATTTGCTCATCACTATTTGAATATGGAACTACAAGCACAAACATGGGATAGTCAGAGCATGGGGCTGCCATGATAAGTGCACTGCACCGACAGGAGTGGGTCTTCTTACAAAGCAGAGAAGGTATGAACAGTTTCATTTCCTTACTTTGTTGTGTGTTTTGTTATTTCATTGTAATTTACACGTGACAGTTTTCTCAAGAAAACTGTCTGATTGGGCTGACATTGTCCATTGCATTTATGATGGGGTTTCTTCTGTGCTGAGCTAGCAGAATTTGTACTTTTGGAAAACAGGTAGTTGCAGTCTTACTGTCTGCTGTATATTGGTATTTACCATAGAGCTGGGGAGGGGTACAATGTGTTAACAGGGTGGGGTGTTAACAGTTTAATAATTGAGATGAAATATTACTATAATAATATGCTAATTCTAATAATTGTAATTATAAGGAGAGAGAGAGAGAATTTAACAGGACTCAAGGCAAGCAAGTGTTCTTCACGCTAATTTCTCACTACCTGCTGACCAATGGCCAGCCAGTTCCTGAACAGAGATCAGTCCCTTTCTGGGTAATTCCCTTTAGTTTATTAGTGAGCATGAAGCTCTGTGGTGTGGAATATCCCTTTGGACAGTTTGGTTCAGCTGTCCCAGCTGTGCTCTCTCCTGGCTCCTTGTGCAGCTCCTCACCGACAGACATGAGCCACTGAAAAGTCCTTGATGTAGGGTGAGCATTCCTGAGCAACAGCCAAAACATCAGAGTGTTGTCAACATTATTCCCATCCTAAATCCAAAAACAGCACTGTGCCAGATTCTAAGGAGAAAATTATCTCTGTCCCAGCAGAAACCAGGACACAGTTATAGGACTGTAGTTACTGAAGTGAGTTTCTGAAGAATTTTTAGATCTATGACTAAAATAGGCAAAAGAAAAGAACCAACCTTTGCTTGCCTTCTCAAGCCCAAATTTGAAAATTTCTTTCAGCTATGGTTTCATGACCTGTGAGAGGTGAAGTAGACATAAGTAAAATACTGCATATAGAATTCCAAAATACCAATTAAATAAACAGAATGTTTTCTCTGAAATAGTTACAGAAAGGCTTTTGAATAGGAAATATATTTTCTTTAGTCTTCTGTCTTGAAACAATAATAATGTAATACATTTATCCAAAATAAACACACTCAGTTTTATGAACTCCCATGTTTAGTAGATTATTCTCTTTTCAAAACTTTGATGCCTAATTCCTTTATTAATTAGTCTAATTGAATCTTTTATGAGGATCTCATGCTGTGAACGTCAACTCCCTTCATACATACTAATGTGGCTAATGAAATGAGACTTTCTCATAAATAATAAATGTGTTGAATCAAGAAGGACTGTTCATTTGATCATCAGAGGCTTAGACTCTTATTGCATGCTTAGACTGTACTACATTGAGAATCCAGTTTGGACTTTTTTTTCATCATGGATCCTTCATCTGGAAGAGAACAAGAATTTTGTTACTGTATTAGAATGCCCAGTAATGAAGGATTTGGTATCCTGAATTTCAGTGTTAAAATTGCTACTTCCTGGGTTTTCCAGGAATTAGAAGATGCAGGCACACCTGATGAAAATGTAAACAGTGCTGGAGAAGAGAATTTGAACCACAGAATAAAAGAGCTGGAAAAGTCAGAGCAACAACTGAAAGGTGTTCTAGAGGACTACATGGAGTCAGATTCCATCCTAAAAAACAGGTAAATGAAAGGAGGGTTTGCATTAAAATTTATTGTTATGTGACAGAAGTATTCTTCACTTTTCCCTGTGTACTGGTTGTCAAATGATACATGCAGAACCAGCAAAAAGAAAGACTTTTTGTGCTTTTTATAGCTGTCAGAATATACGTGAAATAATAATTTTTTAAGAATTATTATTTAAGTAAGATTTACAGCATGGTCTAACATATTGTTACAAACAACCAGGCAGCTTTCTTGGGATGTTTCATTCTTAAATACTCATGTGGTGCAAATTCCTATCATTTTAAAATAAGAATTAATTTGGAATTTCATGTAAAAAAAGTTCCTTGTTTCAGAAAGATTCATCTAATTCAGTGTGTTAATGCTGATCATTACAGTAGATGAAGGTGCCATTAAGCATTAATTATACATTTGACTAGAATAATAAGGTTTTGATAGTCAGCAACAGCACTGTTCTAAAGAATGTCAAAATTAAAAAGGATAGGAAATGTAAATGGCATTAAAACACTTATTTGTGTAATTTTTAATTGCTTTGAATTCATCAAGGAATTTTATCAGAAATTTTTTAACAATAGACTTTTTCTCAAAATAATAATTAAACTTTTAAAAAATATTTTCATATCACACTTCATGATTTTGTGCCACCATTTGACTAGCAACAAGCAAAGCCAACCTCTATTTTGTCACCATCCATCTTTGCAGACAAAGTCAATACAATTTTGCACTGTAGGTTTTTGTACCTACTGAAGGCATGTTGCAAGTGAGATATTTTCACTTCATCTCCTAAAACATAGGTACTTGTAGGTTGCTTGTAATGTTAATTTTGATGGGAAACGTTTACTGTCATAAAAATTGAATTCACTAACTGTGAACCTACAATAGTCCTATGATCAGGTACATGCAGGGACTGAAGTGTTGTGGTTGTCATTATGGTAAGTTGTTACTTCATATAGCATACCAAACTCCATTGAATAAAAATCCTGTAAATGTGTTTGCTTATGATATTCTTATTAAGTCACCAGAAGGGTGCATAATGTGCAAACCCAGTAGACTTTTTAAGAATTAAGTGTTTCTTTTGTAAGTGATCAAAAATTTGTTACTATTTTATTTTTGGGAGACAAATACAAAAATAAAGATAAATCGATGCATTGCTTGTGGCTGCTTATCCACCTGGAACTGTACTGTGGTATTTACTTAGCCAAAATGTTCATTCTCTCACAGGATGAAAGAGCTGGAGCTGTCACACAAAACACTTCTTGTGATGATTGATCGACTGTATGTGAAGCTGGACCAGGTTGAAAATGCCAATGTGCGCATTAAAGGGAAACTGCGAGACATTCAGGAGGACCTGATCAGCTTGGTGAGGGGATATTGTTGCAAATGACCTGGTTTACTTCCTCTTTGTGGTAGTAATTTATAAGTCCAGCTCATCTCCAGTGACCTCTGTTTTTAAGCAACAAATCATCTCAGCCTTTCTTTTTTTCTACAACCAAAAAAGTCAGAAGAATTTTTAGATTTTTTTCTTCCAGCTTTCTATTTCTCTGTTGGTTTTGATGGCACTGCTGTTTTTTCTCTCATTCAGGTCCTTGATCAAATTTATGCTCCCCTTCTTACTTTCTCCTTAGGACTCACTCAGTGTATTTCTTCTTAGGTCAGACTTTATCTCTTGAGCCCCATACAACAAGCATTTTTACCTTGCTCTTGCAATGGATTCATGAAAATGGAGAAGGAATGAAAGATTTTCAGGAACAGGCTTCAGTGATACAATGTCTTTCGATTCTGTTTATCATAAGATACACTTTCATTTTCTCAGCATTTTAGGTTAAAGTTGAGTAACAGGACACTAGTACCATGTGGCAAGATTCACAAGAATGAAGAATAGTCTCTGCTTTTGTAATTAAAAGTGAAATGTATTTTCAAGACTCGGGAAGCTTATACATACATTCCCATCAAGAGTTAACAAAACAAAATACTAGCCCACATCTACCTGACTTTTCAGCCTAGTGTTCTTTCTGACCAGTCCTTGCCAGTGACTACCTCAGAGAGGAAAGTACTGACGATCAAAGTGACTGATCTAAAGAAGCCCTTGAAAGACCAAAGTTATTCCTTCATGTCTCTGTGCCTTCAGTCTTGCTTCAAAATTGCTGCAATGTCCCTGTGATACTGGTGGCTCTTACTCTGCTCAAAGCAAGGGCAGTACGGGACTCATGAAAGCCTCTCTGCCTTTCTTTGGCATCTTTCACCTCTAAGTCTCTGTGTTCACACACTGTAGTGCAAAGGAAAATACCAAAGTCTTTCTCAAACTGTTTCAAAGGACATCTGTTCTTTCTCCTTTTTCAGGAGTCTCATAAGAGGAGCTGACAGATGATAGGTATGGTGAAAAGCAAAGGGAAAAATCCTGGGCTCTGGAAAGTGTATGTCCTGTTTTTTATAACAGAACCACAGCTTCTCTGCCTGTAACACCCCAGTGCTACAGTACTGTCAGTGTTAAGGATCTGTCACTGTGTAAATCAGAGCTGGATATATGAATTACATTTTTAAGGTTCATTTTGATTTAATATGTACTAGAACATGCAAAAATGTGTTTAAAAATTTCCTGTATGTCATGTAGTTGCAGATGTTGATGAGTTTGGTTTTTTTGTTTCCTACTGAGATGTTTCAGTGATGGCTGAAATGACTAAACAGGTTATTTTTGCTCTAAATACAGTATTTTACTGGCTTTTAAAAAATTCTACTTATGTCATTCCTGAGTTTTCAGAAAACAAGGGCATAATTATCACTAAATTAAGAAAAAATATAAGGGAACAAGAGCTTTAATATTAAGATGTTAACTGTACATCTCACTGAAATGATAGGTTGAAAACCAAAAGAAGTCAGAGAAGAAGCACAAGGAAAAATTGCGTTGGCTTCAGGAGCAGCTGAAGACAAAAGAGGATGAAATAAAAAGCCAGTCAGAATATTTTGAGCACTACAAACAAAGGCAGAGACAACAGACAGAAGTACTGAGGAAAAGGGACTGTTACCTTCAGGGTGAGGTATCTAGGCTGGAAAAGCAAGTCCTAGATCTTAATGCCCATATTGCTCTTTTGACATCCAAGTTAGAAGAGGGAGTGGTGCAGCACCTCCAGCAGAAGCTGCAGTCATTGTGCAGTGGGACTCAGGGCTTTAAACACCCTGGTGTGGAAGAAATGGAGTGGAAGACTTGTATTGAAAATGTGGAGCATGATGTGAAAAGCCACCTCAAGGCATTTCAGCAAAACCTGAAGTCCTTGAGGGAGAAAGAAGAGGACACTAGAAGAGAACAGGCAGACCTGCTGACTGAACTGCAGTTCTCTCAGAACACTGAAGACTTTCTCAGAACAAAATTGGAAGAATCTCACCATCACATCTATAGTTTAAAATTATCTGAAATCAAACTACAGGAAAAATTGGAAGAGCTTTTAGATGAAAACAGAACTTTGAAAGATCAAAGTACTGTGAAGTTGAAAAGGAGTAAAGAAAAGGACTCTGAACTTACAAGATTGGTGGATGGGGACAACAGGGTTAACCTGGTAAGTCAACTGGTAAGTAAAAATAATGCAAAATGTAATTAGTTTTTATCTTTGTATCACCTTGGATTACACCTGTCATTAGAGGTACAGCCAAGATACAAGTGTAAGCCTTTATCCTGCCTGATTCTTTTTTCTTATTATTGTTTATTAATTAGTACTTCCCAATGTCTCTTTCACACCCAGAAGAATCAGTAATCAGAACTTCATCACATCAGAGCTTTTGTTAGGTGCACACTGAGGACACTCAACAAACCTTTTTTCCTTAACCTTTGAAGTGATGTGCTCATGGCAAAAAGTCTCAATTGGCACTAAAAGTAGAGCCCAGAAGAACTTCTGAGACCTTGTGGACACCACTCAGTGGAGGAGGACACATATGGTTGGATGAGTTTTTGCATGTTATTCATGCCCAAATGCTGGAGCAAAAAGCACTCTTGACAATAAATCTTGTCTATGAGATTTTCTGGATAATGGTAAACAAGGGAAAATGGATGTGGCGTTCATGACCAGGAATGAGCTGAGATAGTCAATGGTTTGTGGCTCTGTAGCATTGTGATATGCCCTGAATACACTGAATAGGACTTGTTTGCTTCAAGCACTTCACTCCAGCTCTGCATGGGAAAGCTCTGCTCATGCTGTAATATGGCATTCAGCTTTTGCCAATTCATTTTGCTGACAAGGAACAATTATTTTCACAGAGTGGGCTCAAACAAAGTTTTATTCTTCATGCACTGAGGTGCAGGGTATTTTTATTCTGAGACTTTATTTAAAATGAGATCAGCTATGCCTCATTCAGATTGTGACCTGATATCCCAAGAACTCTCCTGATTTTAACTGCAGTTAACCAAGAGGTAAGAGGCATGAACAAAACCCTTTTATACTGGAGGTCAGTCGGACTGTGAGTACTTCCAGAACTGGGAGAAGCTAGAGAGGATCTTGTATCCATAAAGCTAGAGGAAATACAGACAAATTTTTTTAACCTGGTAGTTGAATGCACTTTTGCAGGCCTGGTGATTTTATCCCGTTAGTGTTTCTACAGTCCCAAAGCAGTGAGCTTCAGGAGGTTGTGTCTGTGAGAGAGGGGTGAGATCATCCTGCAATAACCAGCTGCACGTGGGTGACCTCTGAGGAGAGCTCGGAAGCTACACCTCACCCCACGTCTCTGTAACTGCCCTGAGGTGGCAGAAAGACCAACTGCTTACCCTGAGCCATTGCTATAGTTACTTTAACTAGTGTATTCACTTACCCTTTTGAATGAAGAATATGGTTTAAATATATATTAAGATACTTCTTGAGGGACTTGCACTGAGTTGTAAATAGGTACAACAAACAAATGCACTATGAGGGTACTGCACAGCTAAAATCAAGAGGAGTGAAGGCCTTCAGGGACAGAGGAGAAGTAGTGAAAAATTACCATTGGTTTGATAAAATTGAGAAAAGGAGAAAAAAAAAGTTATTTAAAGATGTGAAAGCAAGACACACAACTAATTGCCTGAGGCCAATCCAGGAAGTATCAAGAAACAGGACTCTTTCTACGCTGTACTCTAATAAAGGCCTATTTTTTCCTCTACATGAACCATTCTTCTAACCATTGCTTTTCTAAATATTAATTTACATTTCTGGTGTCATAGGAGGTTAGAGTTTCAGTTACCCAGTCTTTGGTATAAATGAACAGGCCATCATTTATGTTTACTTTACTGCAGAGTAAATAGTGTTCTTTAAATGCTGTGTATAGCATCAGCAGCATCAAATCTTGTCCCTTCTGCATTTATGGTTGTCTCTTCCTCCTATTTTTGTACTACAAAAACATTTGCATTTTTCTAATAGAAAATGACTTGAGATAGCAGGGAAAAAAATTTCAGTATCTATGATAAAAGGAGGAGGGAGACATCTGGTGTTTTTCTGTAAAACCAGCATGTATTAAAATAGAATTTCTCAGTCTCATTACCTCGACCTTGTAGTATTTAAGCCAAAGCAGTGACAAGAAAAATCCTATTTGAGCTCATCATACTCCATCAACAGCTATAAAAATGAGAAATTATGTGCAATACAAGATCCAATTAGGCTGAACACCAAGGGTTGAACTGCATCTCATGGTGGAATGTAGTCACGTAAATCTTGTAGAAAACTGGAATTTCCAGACTCAGTATCAGCATCCTGTCTGCAGTATTCCAGTTGCAGTATATGCCTGAATGAGAAATGAACATGCACCAAAAAGCAGCTTGTTACATGTGGCTGTGTGTTGACTTATTGGTTTCTAGATGTGAGCATTAGGGGTGTCTGTTGAAGGTGAGGGAAAAGTATGAAAAAACAAAGCAATGCACCTTTCTGCAGCTTTCACATGACAGCTGAGGTCTTGATTTTTCAGTGTGATGTTCTGCCACCTGAGCATTGTATCTTATACATCATTTTGTGTAACTTTCTTTTGACAATACCCACGTATCAATCAAGAATTGGTATCTTTAAAGAAATAAATGAGAAGGTGCAGGAAAGGAATGATTGTGTTTCAAGGAATTGGCATTGGTTTCAAACAGGTTGCCCAGAGAGGTTGTGGATGCCCTGCCCCTGGGGGTGTTCAAGACCAGGTTGGATAGTGCCTGAGCAAGCTGGTCTAGTGGAAGGTGCCCTTGTTTATGGCAGGGTGATTGAAACTAGATGATCTTTAAGGTACCTTTCAACCCAAACCCTTCTATTAGTCAATATTACTGAGAAAATAAAAGAAATCTTGGAAGTGTTGTGGTTTTCACTTAAGTTGTGTGTCCCAGTCAACATCTTTTAATAGAGCACAACAGTGAGGCAGCTGACTTGGGTTGAAATAAAAATTATTCTCAATGGTGATTCTGTGGAAAACCAGCAGCCCTTTCTGACTGGCTAGGAACTGAAGACTTGGAAGTCACTGCCTTTCCCATCCATTTGTATTTTAAAACTGCGGCTCAGTGCAAAGGGACCAGATTTATTTTCTGCTGGCATTTGATGCAGAGCAGTGCAGGAAGACAAAAGTGCCTGTGTTGGCTTAGTTTCTGTGGTGTAGCTGTTTTGGTTACTGTCTCAATCGTGTTTTGTTGAGACAATCAAATCTGAGTCTTCTGTTCTCTGGAAATGAGCACAGTGCATGTGAAATGTGATCTAATGTTATCAAGCAGTAGGGGTATCTGTTTTGCATCAGGAAGTGTCAACATTTTCAAATTCAATCAAGGACTCAAACGTAAAGAACAGAATATGAAATCAGCAATTAAATTATCAATGGACAAACAAAATCTTGTTCGGAATGATTATTCCACTTTGAGTTCTTCCAGCCTATGAACAATTGTCTTTGTAGTTGGGCACTGAACTATTAGTCTTATTCCCTACTTGATTGAACTTTCTTTAGTCTTTTTTGATGGCCATATAATTTAGTCAGTGTTCCACCTGTGATCTGACATATTACATGCTTATGACTCAGATTTTCTCCCTTACTGCTTTGTAAAGTATGAAGGTGTGGTGCAAAACCAGCATATTAGGGAAAACTGTAGGAAACTTTAGAATTATAGCATTTACTGGAAAATGTTGAAATTAGAAAATTGTGTGAAACAATAGCAGTTATAATGAAATAATGGGTATTTTTAATGCAAAATGGCAAAGAAAATTTATATCCCTGTTTTTCATATCACAAACACCATATATATGTATATAACCTGTGGGTTTTTTTCCTTCTCCTCCCTCTTTTCCCATTAAGAATGGAGATCTAATTCAGGATGAAGTTCAGAATCTGAAATGGAGATCAGTCTTGGATTCACACAAAAGCAGGGCTACTCAAACTCCAGTTGTGCTGCTCTATGATAAAGAGTCTGGTATGCAAAGAAATACGAGGTTTTGCTTTCATTTTTGCACCATTAATGTGAAGATGATTTCATTCCTATATGACTTAGAAGGTGTAAACCCTAAACCCTTTGAAAATCCTCCTAATCTGTAAACTGTATCTGGGGAAGATGAAATGATAACTGTTTGCCACTACTTAGATATGAGCTTTCACAAGAAAACCCAGAACTTCCAAGAAACTACGGAAGTGAGGGGGTACTTTATATGTCCTGGATGAATTATAGTATTTGGGAATGCCATGCAGCAGACAGATTTGCTCTTCAGACTAAACAATGTGAAAGCTTTTTTTTGGTAGATTTTATAAGGTAAATTCTTCCAACATAAATTAATGGAAATTTTATAGTAAATTTTAGTGTATGTAAATGTGGACCTGCACTGAGTAATTTTAACCAGTAAATTTAATCCATAAGTTTTCACCTGCCCATTGTAATTTTGTATTTTCTATTTCTAAATGCTTTGGGAACTGGAAACCATGAACCCCAAATACACCTTGGTTTAGACCTTAATATTTATGGGGATTTTATGAAGCTCATTTTCATGTTTAACATCATGCTTGTATCTGTATCAGTGGTGGTGTATGCTGCTGGTAGAGAAGGTAATTTTGAGCATACTCTCACTTAAATATTTTTCTATTCAAAACATCTGCTTGGATGGTTTTGGGTTTGTTTTTTGTGTAACTATCTGGGAGTGCCATTACATTTGTGCAGTGCTTTACCATAACAGAAGCACCAGTCTGTAGTTGTGATGGACTGAAGCAGATGGAAGAGCTACCAGAAGAACTTGTACCTGTTTTGGAATGTAGTTCCAGTGCCTTTGCGAAAGTTGCTCGTCTAGCTGAGACTGAGCAGGTGAGAAGTAAAGTTACTGCTGTTCTTGCTGTCTTTGTGCGCAGGGAACATGTGAAATTGGAAAGAAAATGAAGAGTTGGTGTATTTAAAGGTGAATTTAAAAGTAGTTTCAAATCATAACTACTACAGATGCTTTACAAGGTGAATACAGGTGTGTACTAAGAAGATTATTTACTTACTCATACCTAATTTGTAACCTTACTCTTGTTGCAAGACTTTAGATAATTTGAAAAGCCTTTGTATGATTTTTTTCCTTATCAATCTGTAATGGAGTATTTTGTGGATGAAGGAAAAAACAAATTATAATTAGTAATGTACTTTAGCTTATATTTTTCAGTTTGAAACATTTCTCATTTGCTATCATCAGGTCACCCTTGGACCACAGAGGGCAAATACTCTAGAGGACAGTTTCACTTTGCTCAGGTGTACCCCAAGTCATCATGCATCAGGACTGCTTCCCCCTTGTTCTGAGAAGTTACCCAATGATGAGACAAGTAAGGAAACCAAAGATGAGGAAACCTTTTTTCTCATGGATGAACACACTATAACTCTACCAGTGAAGACATTCCCTGCTTCTGTGGTTGAAATCTTAATGAGGAAGAAGCTCCAACTCAGCTTGTTTGCATCTGGAAGATGCCACATAACGGCTTTCACCACTGAGAAGAAAGTGAGGAGTTTGAGTTTCTGTGAGACAAATACCGATCTTTGGTCTGATGGTCTTTGCATTGTTGCAGAAGGAGGATTTTATGACAGAGCTACTGAACTTCTTCATGGAAAGTTGCCTTCCACTGTGGCTGAAATTTTCACAACATCTCTAGAAGAATGCAACGTGGAAAAACATTGGGGAAACAAGCAAATTCTAACAAAAAACGTAAGTAAAACCAAATGCCTGGATAAAGATGTTGATGATGAAAAGTATCACCAAAACATCTTTACAGGGGGAGCTAGAAGAGAAGAAATGCAGAATGACGATGCCTAACAACAGGTGACCTGTGATCTTGAGGAAAGTTGTAAAGTTTCCTACAAATCTGAATTGTTCAGTCCTTGGAAGCAAGAAGTGGAAGCCAGAGAGTCTCCATAGCACACAGGGTACCCAGAGTTCATCTGTTGATTTTAAAGACTTTAAGAAGTGTTTTGAAGGGAGCCCTGAATGAATGCAGAAAGAAGAAAATACTTCAGAAAATTGCATCCCTGATCTGAATAGTGGATGTGATAGAGAAGACATAATTGAAATGGAAGGGAAAGGAAAGCAGGCTCAGAAACCAACTCACCAAACAAGCCCCTCCAGCAATACTGGCCTGGAAAAAGGGAAAGATCAGACCTTGAAACTATGTGAACCAAAAGAGAATTTCTCATGTCAGAAGATAGCTGCTAAAAACGTGCAACATGCATACTCTCAGAATATTTTTTCGTCAGATGAAGAATGGTATCCACTAAACTTGCTGCTTCCTCTGCGTAGTGGTTTCAGTTCAGAAACTGGGCAGAAACACCAATTAAGTGTTGGTTCACCAATCTGAATTTCCCAGCCAACAGAGCAATTTATGTAGTGGGTTTAGTGCTGGCCAAATGCCAGTGCACCCACTGGAATTATTTACTAATTTTCTGCTGTGAAATAAGGATTAGGAGAGCAAAGCAGGCTCAAACTTTAAAGGACATAAAGAAAACTTTATTAACATAACTAAAAGGAAAAAAAAATAATGAGAAAATCAGAATAAACCTTCAGAACGTTTTTCCTCCCTCCACACTCTCTTTTCTTTCCCAATGACAATGTAAAGAGACAAAACCTGGAACTTTCAGTCAGTTTACCACCTCTAGAATAGTTTTCAGTTCACTTAGGGAGAGGAGTCTCTCTTGCCATGCCATGGAGACTTCTCCACAAGAAACAGTTGTATTATGGCTTCAGTGTCACAGCAAATCAGACATGCAGGAAAGGAAAATCTGCTCACAGTGTAAAAGTCCCTCTCATGCCTTGCAGCTTTCCCACAGCTGCTCTCATGGGCCCACTTACGGGGTACTATTTTAAGGATAAGCTGTTCTAGCATAAAGCAAAAGTTCTCTTCATCCATCTCTGGGAAACAGAGGTTTTCTTCTATTACTGGGGCAAGGTTCCTCATCTCTGTCTTTTCAAGCTACTTCAACCTCTGCTTGCTTCAGCATTGGTGCCTCTCTTCATGGCTGTGGTTAGAACACTGCATCCTCCCAGTGCATTCCATGAGTTACAGGGAAAGAGTCTGATAGATCAAACATATCTTCACCATAGCCTTACAAAAGAATTTCAGACAAAGACTAAGGCATTTCCTCAATCCCCTCCCATCTAGAATTTGACTCCTTTACTGACCTCAGTGTCCCATGTTGTTTTCTCTATGTGTCTTCACCCTTTCCTTTTCCTGATTTGGGAGAGAATTGGTGTTTGTAAGTTCGTTTGTTCTAAAGCTTTATCAATTGAAACAGTTTTTATAAAGAATTCTGCAGTGCTGAAAGGCTGATCTCATCCAGGCTCCACAATCGAGGAATTGCTGTGTTTTTCACTGCTGATCATGTGGTCCCTGCTGGCACTGGCTAAGCTATGCTGGCTGCTGTTACCCCCCCTGCGCCTTTCCTTCATGCAGGGTGCTGGGAAAAGAAAGAACACTGCTGCCACTGGTTTTGTCCTTTTGTACATGTAGCCATGGCTGGCTAAAAGCGGCTGAGCAAGCAAAGCCCATTGCGAGTCATGTCGAGATAGCTGCAGCTGCAAAGCGCTGCCCCAGTCGTGCTGATTTTGGCCATGCATTCTTGGCCATGTGGCTGCTCCTGGACCGGGCAGACATAGGCCACTCCAGGCACTGGTCCTGGCCACACAGCTGCTCATGGCATTGGGATAGTCCTGGTGGCATGGCCTGGCAGCAGCAGAAATCTTGGCCCAACCAGTGCCACAGCAGAGTCCAGCCTGGCCAGGACTGGCCCCGTGGGGCTGGGTGGGTCAGCTACCTGCTCAAAGGCCAGAAGCCAAGAGAGAGCTTTTCCCAGGCTCTGTCTGTTTTTAAATGTGTTTTTCCATAGAGCTGTTTTCAACTCTTTTAAGTGGTTTAACGGGGTGTCAATCTTGAAAACTAGCCAGCTAATTGGCTCCTCAAACTTGCCAGCTGATTGGCTCTTCTAAGCGAGCCAGCTGATTGGCTCCACCAGGTCCCACCCCCGCAGCCCATGGCCTCCTGCCCAGCTGAGCACCAGCCTCGGTCAAACCGCGACACTCTGCAAGAGAGGCCTGGGTGCTTACACAAACTGTTCCAGCCAGGGAACAGTTTTTATGAGTGTTTCTGCCATCTGTCACCCCTGGAATCTGGAAATGAATGTAATGTGAAAATATCTGTACTGGAAAAAACTGGCTGCGTGTTCTAAGAGGATATTTCTGCTGATGCAACAGAATGAGAATTACTCCTAGAGAGTCAGTATGTTACAAGAGGAGAATGACAAATACGCTTAGATGATGTGTTTCCTGGAAGAGCTGATGGATACACATTTTCAGCGTGTTTTAGGAGATGAGGCTAACTTTGTTTCATTCCAAAAGTTAGTTAATGAGAACATTGCAACTTTTTCTAAGAATCTCTCATATATTGAAGAGAAAAACAGCAATTCTGAAAAAGACTCGTCGGCAATTGTATCAAATAAACTTCTCATCAATCTATCCATGAATGGAAGGAAAATGAGGTATTTCCAGATGCTTTCTGTCCTGAAAGAAGAAAGAACCAGATGCTTCAAAGAAATGGCTAAATTATAAGAACTATGTAGCAAAGTATAATGAATTTTAACAAGAGAAAAAAAGAAATTTTCGAAGAATAGCTCTTTCAGAAGGTGAAAAAGAAACTTCTTTGGGACATTTGGTGGAGATGAAGTATAAGCAAGACAAATACAGGACTTTAGTTTCAGAACTCCAAGCCTGCAAAACTAGCTATTAGCAAACCATTTCTGACTTACAGTCAAAATGTGACTTACAGGAAAAATGTGTACTGAAAAAAGAGATAGAATCAATCAAGAAGCTTCAGAACAGCTTGATGAATTTCAGAAAGCAAATGCAAACTTTATTTTAGAAAAAAAGAATAAAATAATATCTTCTTTGGGTTTCACCTATGAAGAGCTGAGAAAAGATAAACGTATAGGAACAAAGAAAAATATAGTAAAACTAAAAGAAGAAAGCAAACAACCTGGTCTTAAGCTAGAGAAGTTGAAACAGCATGTATGGTAGTACAAACTGAAGAACAGGGAGTTCTAGCTGTAGATCCTTCAGATTATTCCCCTGGGGAAAAGATAAATAATAACAGTAAGGAATGCTATCAAGCACAATCTTCTAAAGGAAGGGAGATACAAATGTCATTTGGAGGGCAAGCCTGAATTAACTTTGTGATGGAGGAAACTGTAACCTCTAACATGAGCTGAGGTGCTCAAGTTAACTTGGAAATAGAAGGCAAAATGCCAGAGAGGATTTTTTTTGGAATGTTGTATTTGAGAATGGTAGAGTGATACAGCAAGCTACAAAGTTAAAAATAATACTTAAAAGACTCCACTGTTCAGGCCTTTTAAAAAGTATTTATGTTATTGCAGGAGTAAAACCGTTTACAAGAAGCTTTTATTCTACCACAAGTTCTCCTGACAGAAGGAAACTTGTTGTTATGGTGAAAAAATCATGTCTTGGTGAAATGTGTGCACATGTTCATTTACTATTTTTTATTCTTATTTGGTCTATTTTTTTTTTTTTCATTGTTTTGATGCATATGAAACATATCTCTAAAGGCAGGATCTTTACTTGTGGTGGATTTCTCATCCATGGTTTTCCTCTGTAGTTGTGTATCTTACACCACAGTGAAGTTCTGTGGAGATTGCTATGTACTTATAAATGCAGAATTACTACTTCACTTAAGAATAGTCAACAGGGAAATATTTATATGTAATACCTTGATTTCATACAAGTTTTTTGTAGTAGTTTAGGAGGAAACCTTATGTTGTTCTATAAATGACTGTGTGCCATTTGGTGCAGGTGAGAGGAGTCATCATGTCTTTCTGTCTGTCCAGGGCAGCATGTTTGAAAGCTACTGTATGATGAAAGAACAAGTCAGAAAGGCAGAAGAGGAACTAAAAATACAGCAAAAGGAATTAGAAAAATCAAAAAAAGAGGTAACCATCTACTCTGATGTACTTCTGAGGAGCATATTTGTTTTTTCTTGTGTTTTCTTACATGGCTGTCTTCTTTCTGCTGGGTTCTAACATTTTTACAAAATAGGGAAGTCTCTGATCTTCAGAACAAAAATGTTCCTCTGATCTTTGAGTGATGGATGGCACAGTCACTCTTGGTTGGCCAGGACATCAAGTGAATTTCATTCCTGCAGCACACTGTGGCAGAGGCTGAGTGCCCTGATAAAGGCACACACAACAACCTTCCTACTCTGCCCATCTCTGGGCAGCTGCTTCCCTCCACATCACTGGGAATAAGAAGAAGGAGAAGGCAGTGGAAGTACTGAGGGTTACTGCAAACAGGAATTGAAAGTAGTTTCTGAATGAGAAGCCAGATCAGCCTGGCACTGTCAGGGGATTGCTATATCCAGAGGCATTGTCAGGCGTGCTGCCCCTTCTCTCCACAGCTGTGTAGCAAACACCAAGTCCAGCAGCACCTACTTGGAGACTTGTGTGGGTGGGTAGTTCTGTGTCTGTGTGAAGTAAATCTGCACTTCTGACACCATCTGAGGAAGCTTTCAGCGTTCCTTTCCAAATGCACTACGTATTCACATTCCTGTTTTTTACTAGTCAGTCTCCACTCCATGCACATCTAAGCAGAATGTACTGTTTTTATGGTAAGTGTCAGTTTAGGGGGTTGTAACAGGCATCACTCACACGCCCTGTGAACAAACCATTGGCAGCAATGGGTGTGTTGAGTTTATAAAAGAAAAATAGCAACTGAGTTTTTGTGATGGTTGTATGAAATTATTGTCCTCTGACAGCTGCTTT